GGTGTCTGCTCTTATCAACATCACTAACACTGAAGGGGGTTTGAAAAAAAAAAAAAACGGAAGACTCTGAGAAGTGTTGGGGATGGGGTGATGAAGAGGAGGTTCAGCATCAGCGTCAGGAAATGGGAATTGGTTGCAGTGAAGTACGAAGGAGAAAGGGTTATGTGTCCAGTGTAGACGATGGTTAATAGGTTATGTGTCCAGCGAAGTATGATGAAGGGATGAGACCGATGTTTTGGGAGATAACCTATTAGCCTTCGAGGATGTTCGGAAGAGTGAGGAAGAAGTAATGGTACAAGTTATGAGGGAGTTGAAGGAGAAAAGGGTGGGACAAAGTGGGAAAGGGAGACAGAAAGGGGGCGCTATTATGGGGGGAAGGGTAGGGTCTTGCCAAAGCATAAGGGGCCTGCGGAATTCAGGCCCATCTCGTCATTCACAGACCCAGCAGCAAAGATCGCTAACACAAAGATTCCAAGGGCTCTGAAATTTCTGCTTTTTCGCTGCCCAAGGATGGACATTTTCACTTGGAACTTGGAAGCAAGGTTACAAGCCATACCCGGACACCGAACCAGGTTCAGACGTACGTCCGGACCTCTCTCTGGACTGCTCCAGACCGTCCGGATTGAAAAAAAAAAAACCTTTAAAGTAAAAAAAAAAAAACAGAGAACTCTGATTAATTAATAATATGTTGCATAAAAAAAAAATTAAAAAATCAGCGAGTGCTCCGTGCCTCATGCCTGGCTGTCCGGTCGATGAGAGACCTGCTTCTCACTTTGGAATGCGAGCTAAGGTGTGTTGCAGTCGTACTCGAAAGTAATGATTGACTGACAATTTTTTTTTTGTGGGCCTTCACCCGCAGACGTGCCCCGTACCGGGCGGGGATTTCTCAGACTGCAACTCTGCGGTTCAGCCCCCGAGTTAACACCCCAGTTCAACTCCAGTTATGCTCCAGTTAACCTCCAGTCAAACTCCAGTTAACCTCCAGTCAAACCTACACTGCTACACTGGCAGCGTAGCAGTAGAGTATAGGAGTCGGGCGGAAGTAAGAATCATCCGGGGCTGTCGGGCTGCTCCAAAGCCTCAATTCCAGTGGTTCTTTTACCACCACCGGGATAGAGACCTTGCGCAAGGGTTTTTCAACAAAAAAAAGAAAAAAAAAAGAAAAAAAAAAAGAAAAAGAATCATCGGGGACGTAGCCGGAGCAACGCTGGCCGCAGCTGGAGTAAGGCAGTGCAACTCTGTAACCCAGCCTGACGGGAGCACGAGGCCTGGTAGAGCTTCGGTTTGTGCTGAAAACGGCCATGCTGGTAGTAGTTGTGGATGGGATTGAATGGGTTTCACGGAACTTTCACCTATATCTGGTTTTGGTGGGAGGCACCTATTTTAGTGATTGGGTAGAGTCTAAGTAAAAAAAAGAAAATTAAAAAAAAAAATCAATACGATCAGCACGATTCAGCAGTTTTCTCAATTCTGTTCTGGATTTAGCAGTATTTTAGCAGTAAGATTGTTCAGGGTATTGAAGCGGGGCAATGGCCCCGGTCTCAAACTGTTCCACATATGTTTTCATATGGGACACTGGGCCCAGTTTCCAGCACGTCGTGTTGCTCCCCACAAATAGATTGGAGCACTGTTTGTTGAAAAAAAAAAAAAAGTAGCTTTTCTCCGCGTTTGTCATTTCTGAGGACGTAAGAAATACGTCCACATTATACGTGGTATCGGCATCCAGTCCGCTGGAAAGTTCGTTTCACTGTCTGCTAGTGCGTTGTTTTCCAGATTCCGATCTTGACCTAGGACTTTCAACTGTTGGTACCTTTTTTTTTCTTTTTTTTTTGGTTGTTGTTGTTGTTGTTTTTGTTGGTATTAGGTTACAGGTACCAGTGAGATTTGTGGGAAAGGGTACGAGGGGACTTTAAGTATAGGGTAGCTTTTCGGCTGACGTAGGAGTTGGATGGTAAGGCTGTTCATGACGACGTACACTACGGTGATAGTCCTCTTTCTCGAATCGAAACTTTCCCCCCGAGGATGGCCGGGTCTGGCACCGGTCGAAATGAGGAGTCAGGGACTCAGGGACCCGCCACGTTGTGTAGTAGCTGACAGGCTGCGCAAGTGCTCGGAGTCGGTGTCGACAAGTGCTCGGAGTCGGTGTCGATTGTTGTTTTTGCTGTCTGCATCCATTCACAAAGTTTTCTGTTGACTTGGGATGAAAGATTGTCCGTCGATGTTTTCGAGAGTGCTCGTGTGCATGTTTGAATGCACACAATCGCTGCAGTGATTCTGCATCGAACTCACTGTCTCACCTCTCGCATCCCAAAAGCACTAACGGATACATGAAAGTCTCTGATAACTTATCAAGTTATCATGTGAAGAAGTAAATGCTACCATCTTCACCCGAATGCAACGCCTAGCTAGCTTTCCCGGGGCACCCGGCCGGGCATGACCGGCCGGGCGCCCCGGGCACCCCGCCCGGGTAGGGACCACGCCCGGGGTACCCCGGGCATGCAAAAAACCCACCAAGTTTTTTTTTTTTTTTTTTTTCAACCACCAGACCTTGCTGCGCTCTGGGAGTAATGCCCAAATCCGGCCTCTTTTTTTATTTTCACGTATGTTGATTTCTGTGGGTCGGGTGGGGGGAGGGGGTGCAGGAGGGGGCAAATTTGAATCCTATATCAGCGCGCACCGTCGATCTATGCAGATCGATGACCAGAATCCCCCAAAAAATTAAAAACCTACAAAAAACGGGGCCTACCAGACCCCCCCAAAAAATGCGCCGACCACTGAAGACAAAGTTGGCACGTTTGGAATAGGGCTGCAGCAAGAATTTTTTTTTTTTGGCTTTTTCTGCCTTGGTGCGAGAGGCGTCCGGGTGCCTGCTCGGGGGGGTCGCCCGGCCGGGCACCCCGGCCGCCATTTCGGGCATGGTGGGGTACCCCGTGCGCCCGGGGTGGAAAGCTTGACGCCTAGTCATTATAGCTGTATTTGGTACAACTATCAGTCCAGATACAGTGCCAAAGTTAACATTACCCACTGACACGGCCACATATATCTGGATAACATTTTGGTAAGTAGTAAGTACTATGTCTGGAGTGCTATGGACGAATCATTAATGTATCGATAAGTGTTTGTATACAACGAAAATTTATAGGGGGGGTACAGGAGGGGGTGGGGGGGAGGGGAAGAGTGTATGAGGGTGTTGTGAGGCGGTTTAGGGGTCTT